TTCATCGTGATTTCTGCTTGTTCTAATTTATCTACTAGTTTTCGAAAATCTAAATCGGGTTCTCGAATTGAAGAAGGATGGGATGCTCTCTTTTTTATTGCTATTTTCCTTAATTGTGGTGTTAAGGTCATCATTAAGATTTCTGTCATCTTTGTGTTTTTATAGTCATGTGTATTTAGTGAGTATGCTTTTCGAACTAGTGTTTCGATTCGTACTGCTATTTGCTTGATGGTTTCGTTTGGTAATCTGCGAATTTCATTACATAAAACTCTTTGTTGTTGTTTGTTTCTTTCGGAGTCAAACATTTTTGAAAATTCTTGTGTAAATCTTTTCCAGTTTGATTTTATTTCTAAAGGTAGTACTGAAAACCATTTTTGGGCTGCGCCATCTAAGGTTGTTTGTATCAACGCTGTGCGTAGATGTATCCAGTTTTGATGTAGTGGCGTATTAATTGGTTCAGGTCCAATGTTTAAAATCAGGTTTGCTGTTACTGCATTTAAATAATCTTCTACAGAGTATTCAGGGTCTGTTCCTGTGAAAACCATTAAAGGTTTATTTGATGTTATTGATGATCCACCCATAAGGTATGGATTCATTGTCATTTGTAATGATTCTGCTGCATTTGGCATTTGAGAAAAATTTGAAAGTTGGTTTCTTGTTATTTCATGTTGTTGAAGATAATATGGGAGTGGTATTTCATTTTGCATTTGTGATGGTTGATACGAGTGTGCAGTCATTGGATTTTGTTGTTGAATTGGTTGAAAAGATTGTGTATTAATTGGATTTTGTTGTTGAATTGGTTGTTGATGTTGTGCATCTATTGGTTGTGGAGAAAAATTCCTATGATTTGTACGTGTTTTCTGTATTCCTTGTCTACGATATTCTTGAGTATTTTGTGCAAATATATCTGGTTGTAAAAAATCATCATCTGAGGATAAATAATCCATTTGATAAGATGTTTGTTTTTTATTTTTATTTTGTTGAAAAAATGGATAATTTTCACTGCGATCCTGTGGAGGATTTGGTTGAAAATTTTTGGAATTATATTGGGCCGTTGGGTTATCCCAGTTTCGAGGTTTTGTATATTGATTAAAATTCCTTTGTGGTTGATAATTTGTTTTTGACGGATGTGTATAATTATAATTATGGTCTGCAAAGTTGTTTCTAGTGAATGTTTTGCGTGTTTTTGATGGTATTGTCATGGGTCTGTATGTTTGGTAATCCATATGTGAATATTTAGGGGCAACCGAAGGTTTAACGGTTGATTGTAAGGTTACCTGTGTTTGTGAAGGATTTGTATTTCTTGGTGTTGTTAAATTTGGGCGTATTGGTGAAATACTTTGTTGTGTAGTTGTTGTGTGTACAATTTCTTCATTTATGAAGTGTGATGGTGTCTGGATATCTTGTTGAGTAAGATTCCTAGTTCCATTGAGGTTTTCGTTGTGTATGACTGTAGAGTTTAAACTATTATTTTGTGTATCGGGTAAAAATGTATTATAGTTTAATGGTGTTGCATCAATTGTTAATGGTATTACTCTTACATAGTCTCTTATGTAAGATATCGTACTTATTGCTTGACTTGAGATTGATTGTGGGAAGCTTATAAATGCGGGATGAGACCATTCGGGGTCCCAAACATAATCTGATTGTTCTGTGATAGCGGTATCATCGTTCGAGTTTTGGGGTCTAAAATTTTTTCTTGCTTGTGCAATTAAATCAATATTATGTGTGAAATAATCTATTATGAACCATGCCAAGATTTTTTGTAAATCGTGTTTGGTATGTTGTGAAACGTCGTCTTTCGTGAAATTTTCTTTAATGATGTTTAAATAACTAGAGAGTAGTGTGATTTCATGTCGTACTCTTAAATGTTTAGATGTTTCTGTCGGTGAGACATTTGTTAATGGGAGTTCATTTTCTAATATCGAAATATAACTATATATTATTGCGAAAACTTCATTGGTGAAAATGGAGTTTGCTCTTTGTGAGTTATGATATTGAATGCTTTTTATATATTCTGAAAAAACTTTTGAAAATTCTAAATCAAGATCGTCCGTTTGAATAGTATATGTTCTATTATTATGGTTTGGGGAAGTGAATTCTATAGAGTAGATTCCATACTGTTGTGTTATGTTGCATATATCTTTTAGATAGTGATCTATGATTTGTCTTTTGATTTTTACATCGGGGAATTCTGTTTTACATGGACTAATTCCGGGTTCAAATAAATTTACGAGTAAATTTTGACAAAATATGTGTTGTCCTCTATCGGTATCTGCATCTACTATAAAAGGAAAGATTTCATCATCATCTGGAGTTTCTTCACCTGGAGTGTGCGTTGAGCTCATTTTTTCGTTCGATGACTGTTAATATGTAATTATTAATGTGTCGAATTGGTTGATTCCAATTGTATAGATGTACTGGTTTGTGTTTGTACTGTTTTTTTATTCTTCTTTTTCCTCTTTGTGATGAATTTGAAGTTGTTTCTGAGTCAGAAAAATATAGTTGATCGTGAAGTGGGCAATTTTTATCTATTGATTCTTTTAGTTTGTAAAGTTCGTCTAAACTGTTGGTTTCTGATTCTGAAAATGCGTTTCGATTTTTTGAAAATCTTTTTCGTGTTATTTGTCTTTGTTTAGTTATTATTTTCCTCTTTAGTGTTTGTCGTTTTGTGCGAATGTATCCAACTGTTTGTGTATGAGGTGTGATTACAAGGTCGTATTTTTTGTTATCTATTTCACAATTGTGTAAAACGATTGTTTGTTTATTTCCTAGGTTTTTAAATGACATAAGGTTTAGAATGACGGATGCAAAAGGTTGTTAAATGATTTCTATTTTCCTAAACTGTTAGTTCTTACGATTTTTTGGTTAGCTTAACCTGGGTCTATTTGTTCAGGGTTGGAGAGAAAAGTATATCGATTCCGAAGAATGATTTTTACTTTCTCGTGACTAGTATAAGCTAAGGTGTTAACTTACTTAATCTTACTTAGGGGTAGTGATTGTGTTCAAGGGTTGGAGAATAGTAAATCGATCCACAAGGTTCAGGTATAATTAGAACGCGAGTAGTTCGTTAGATACTATTTTAAACTTACTAAGTCTAAGATTTATCCTGGGTCTGGTAAGAGGGGGGGTCAAGTGAAGGATGAATAACCGAAGTTCTTCACCGTTTATCCTAATTTGAATGATTAGTTTTGTTTAAAAATTTCTATTAGTCTTGGGTCTTTAGAAAGGGTTGGGTAGTGAATCGACGTTTGAGGTCGTTAGACACTAATTAAGTGGGTGGGGGAGAACAAAGTTGTTCTGTTTGATCCAAGGATAAGCCTTGATGATCAAGTTTGAAATTTAATTAAGTAGAAAATGATTTAAGATCCAAGGATAAGCCTTGATGATCTGATTTTAAATTAAGTGACTTTAAGTTTTAATAAAGTTTTAAATTTGTGTAAAGGAAAGATTTAGTGTTTTATGATGTTAGTGAGTTGATGATTGCTGTTATGTTTTAGGTGATGAAGCTGGAACAACAGGATGATTTATGATTACTAACCATTTATTGTCATGCTACTAATTTTTATTTTTATTTTCCAATAAATATTTTTCAAACATGTTTTGTATAATACTGCAGAGTTTTAGAAAAACGATCTTAGATCTTTTTATCAATCGTTATTGTATAATATTAATTTTGTTTAGCGCCTGAAATGATTTTGAAGAGTAACTTCAAGGTTTTATGTTTGCAAATGGAAATCTAAATTCATTGCAAGTAGTATTCGAAATATAAAAGTTTGTTCTGGCTTTTGCCGAACTATCATATAACTATACGGCAAGTTTCTACTTTGTCGTATGTCGTCTTTGGTTCGAGGTCTTCTTCCAATTCCGGGTAGTTCTGTTATGGTTCGGAATATTGGCTCTGATCTATTGAGTCGGAGAGACATTTCAATTAAATTATTGTCGTATAACATTTTGTAAATGTTTTTGTCTAATTTCTAATCTATTTTTGGTTAATTCTAATCTAGTAAGGTCTTGTTCGAGACTTATGGTCGCACCAGATGAGTTAGGACCGAAGTGTAACTCATAGAGTAATTTCGGATAGGGTACACCGTCTGCTCGTCACGCTATCTTATTTTCGGCCGGATAGATTCGTGCAACTTCTTAGTCTAATACCGATCCTAATCTTACTCTTATACTATCTAGTCTCAGGTTGTTTAACTAGTCTCTGCTAGGCTCAATAGATCTAGGGTATACTGGTTTATTGCGGCTGCTGAAGTGCTCGGGAGAGTCCAACTAATTTCTAAGTTAAATTCAAATCTCTCTGGTGCTGAAATTACAAGTAACTTCAGCACTTACAAATAAGTGGGTTGTTAGTTAGATGGATCATGATTGGTTAATATTAAATACTTTACATTGGTAAAACATTTAATTTATCCAATCATAAAATATAGTTTAGATCAGGTTCCAGTATAGCAGGTTGAAAGGCTAAAATGATGCTGGGAGTGAGAAATAGCTATAAAAATTTAGTGATGTATAACACAAGTGAGATAAAATTTAGTAGGCGGGACGAAATGGGACTAAGTGAACAATTTCCCCCTAAATCCATTTAGGGAGGAGATCGCCCACTTGGTTAGAAATAATTTTTTGAAGCCAATTAGATTTGAGAACAGTACATGCAGGCCCTACTGCTTGAAATTGCGACTTAACTTTGTGGCGAAGATTGGGCTCTTTTTCCTTCCCCCCTCCCACCTCACACGAGCATCAATTTTATGGTCTAACGAGTGATTTTACAAGGTTAATTATGGAGACCAAATATGTTTGTCATGGCCTAATTAGTTCATGACAATTGGACAATGTGAACAAATATTTTAATTATAAAAATTTGCAGGTGGGGGGAAAGGAAAAAGAGCCGAAGATTGTTCACATGGGCCACGAAATGTACTATGGGTTAGAAAGCGAGTGGAAAAGAAAATGGAGTTCAAGAGTGGGGTATCTATGTTCTGTTCTGTTTGTTGCAGGAGACTACGTGTACACAATCAACTCTGGCATTTCGATAGATGCGAATGAAGCCAGACATCAGTATGTGGCCTACTACAGACTGGCTCTTGTGAGCATCATAGCTTTTGCTCTCATCTACCTCTACGGAAGAGTGATCCACGACTTGAAGCGAAGGGCAACTGCCAGAAAGAGACTCACAGCACAACTCAGACGCGAGTCCCAGTCAATGCAAAGGTATAAATTACATTGTGTGCCATAAAGGGGAGAGGGGCGTTGGCTCAAAAAAAATTGATGACTCTTCAACACTTTCTGCTAAAAAGTGTTAAAAAAATATCAGAAAAGCAATGATATGATGCGTGGTATCGGTGGCATACGCAGAAACTTTTCAAAAGACGCTAGCCATTACACGTCACCAAAATACAGAAGTTTGAACACCATTGTTTGAAGTGGAAGAGTTTTGTTTCTGGTTTTTATTTGATGGAAATACTGTTTTGAACTACGGGCCAAAACTTCTAAGCTGGTAAGCAAATCACAAATATTCACTACGGATAAGATTTCAGGCGAATGTCTATTCATGGAAAAATACCGCAATACACGAACTTGTTTTGCAAATTTTGTACCTCTTTTGAGGCTCTTTTCGGGCGAAATCAAAATTCATGGGCTTGGATTATTTCGACTTTACCATGTTGTGCAGTCCTCCAAATAGGCTTAAGATCATTTTTCGAATAAACTTTGGCCACGTGTTTCTATAACAACTGACTAAGTGTATGTCATTAATGTCTGTATGTTTTTTAGGCTGGAGGAAGATTCGTTACAGCGACAGAGATCTGCCACTTTAGTGCACAACATCAGCCTCCAACTAGACCATCTGACCGCATTCTTCACAGGAGCCACTGAGAAGGTATATTGCTGAGACTATGATCAGTTTTTACTTTTTTCAGGCTAAATTTTTCCTTAATTTTCACTTTTACCCATTTATCTTACTTAGTTTTTGCTTTTAATCTGTTTTTAGAATGGTATTTTGTATAAGAAAATAAACAAGACTGCTCGTATCAGGGCAAAGTGCTGAATGTTCCGACTGCCTTTTAAGGTTTATGGAGCAGTAGTAACTTAAAAAATTAAATCTAATAAAATAAAATAAAAAAAAAAATTCTAAAATTTGATTTTTTTTATGAAATCATCCCCCCATACGCCATATTAAGTACAAAAGAATAGAGTTCGCTCATTGTAACAAATCAATTATGGCAAATGAGCTTCTTTCAACCAATTTGGAACGATTTCTAAGACGGATTAAATCTTCGCTTACGCGTTAATTGCGCGAAATATATCGCGCGTTAATTGTCCCAAATTGGCCAAAATGGCCATCTTTAAACCCCCATAACTTTAAGAAAAATAATCACAGGTGAAATATCTTTTCAAATTTAAGCTCAGGACAGCAATACTTTTTGAATGATATAAAAAATTCCGTCAAAAATGGCTAGTTAAAAAGTCGAAATTTGTCTGAGGAAAAAAAACCCCACCCCGAGCACAAATATTCCGTTACTTTCGTATCGAAAGTCGGAACAAAAATGTTGCTCATAACAATTCAACGCGACAAGTTGATTTCTCCTTGATTTCCTCCCAAAAAGAACAAAATTAGCAACGCGTTTACAGAAATGTAGAATTTCATTTGCAGGACCAGAATGGATTATCAGAATTAATTGGTATGAAATAAGGTTATTATAGGTGAAAAGTCATCTGCAAGTTACGTTCGGCTTCTCAGACGACTCCGACTTGCGAACAGAAGTCATGTTCATCAACGTCGCAGTGTTTTTTGCCCTGACTAACTTGCCATATATTGTGGTCGAAATGATAGACGACTTGAGAAAGGCATACAACCCCAATCCTAAAACAACCAGTCTATTCCTTCTGATTTTTGTAATAGGCTTCAACTTAAACCCCTTTATTTTCTACGTCTCAAACCCCTGGTTCAAATCACAAATGAACGCTATTTTCTTATATCCTTGCAGAGGAAAAAAGCAAGATAAAAAAGTTCATCAAAATGGTGTGACAGCGGACGACGAAAGTTCAGACGGCACCGAAATGACGACAACCCAAGACGCGGATTTGGAGTAGTGAGATCCTTGAGTAAACTGAACGTCCTCCAACTTCCTATGCTTGTATGCTATGCGTGGTATCTTATTGAACTTATGTGTCTTCAATGAAAATATTTTATAATTAACACTAGTTTTTATGTTCAACCTTAACATCTGGATAGAGGAGAGCGTCCTAATTTTCAACCCACTAGAAATAATTAGACAAATTCCGAACAGATTGCCCAAATTTTGGATGTGATATGAAGCTCATGATTGAAAACAGGGGCGGATCTAGGATTTTCTCAAAGGGGGCAGATTTTTAAAAAAATCAAAAATTTTGTCGACTTTTTATTATGTCGACTTTTTAAATTGATTTTCGAAGCTCTCCCATATCACTAACCGACCCTATTTTGGCCAATTTCTTTGCTTTTTGAAAAAACAGGCTGAAAAGGCGGCTTTTTAAGGCACTTTTTGCACAGTTTTGTTCAAAAATTTGTGTTTTTTCGGCGCACACTTCCCCCTCCCTTAATCCGCCCCTAATTGAAAATCAACTCTCCCTATCAAGAAACTTTGATCAGCCGTATCCAGCGAGTTATTATAGTTCGACTTGCAGTTTGTGTACGTTTTCTTCTATCAAACACCAGGATAATTCCAAAAAATTTTGAGGGCTCAATTCTGAAGTGGTACATGCATAAATAATACACAATATTCACTCCTCTGATGCTTATTCTCGAAACTGACCTCAGAGGACAAAAACAAGAACTACCTTCAGGTAAAACGTCCTGTTTATGTCTTAACTAAGTCATCTTTTAACTCTGCTTCAAACGCTAGATTCACCCTAAAAGGAATAAAATAGCCCTTTGATGTTACTGCTAGGTCTTTTCACGACAATTAAAATTTTTTGCGGACGTCGACTCGACGAGCCCTTCACAGACATGCCCATTGAGTCATACAGGGCATTCAGGATGATCCAAACAGATTTTTAGAGTAAACTAATTGTTTTCCCTAATGAAATTAAGTTTTGACGAGGAAATTTCAGTTGTCAGTCTTTCAAACTTTTCGCGCAACCGTTAATGAAGATGCACAGGCCTGGAAGTAGGAAATCTGCCATGTCCCTGCTGTCAAATCAAGGTCTGAAATGAACACCTAATATTAATTGCTCCGATCACCCAAAGAATCTGGCGAGCCATAGGCACATCTGAAACATTCGCCCAGACATTACACAGTGACGGAGCGTAGAAAAAGTATCTATTGACGACTGGCTGATGTCAGTTACCTTAACTCTACTCGTTTTTAATCGTCTTGACCTAGTCAGTTGTTTTTCTGGTCTGTTAATGGCTAAATAATAAATTTCAGGTCATCAGCTAAACGACTTTTGATCAGCTTTCGTTTGCATGCGAAAATAACCACATAGCTGGGTCTCGGATCCGCAGACAACGTGATTACTATTAAAACCACGGCTAGGAAATCACAATTAGATATATTTTTAGTGACAGCTATATACTAAATCCATTAGAGACGAATTGACTCTTTACTCGACTCTAACTGCTCATGCTCTGAAATTCTAGACTAATATCGGAGTAAATTAAATACGTTCATGGCATTACAGCAGCTAATATATCATTTAAATTCTCTAACAGTCTCTGGGCACCGGGCTTATGATTCCGTACTATCCCGGAGATAACGTTGTTATCTCTCCAATTTTGTTGCACGGGAGGGTTCGGTGCAATCCCGAATGTCCCACTGGACCTTCCGTTCCCACAATCTTCTTATGATAAGCATCTTATTGTGTCTTGATGTCACGATAAGAGGCTTCGTTTATCTTCTATTATTCTCTCTTTTTCACCGAATAATTTCCGTTTTGCAATCAGTTGTTTTCTTTCACGTATACTTCCAGTCAAAATGGTCATTTTTCGCATTTCTGAGAAATGTTTCAGTCCAAAGTGAAATTTTGAAAATTTAAAAATCTGGAATATTTTGAGCCTCCTTTTCATCGTAATTTCGACAATAATGCCTTTAACGTTGTTTTCGGCGTGCGTCGGAAAGTTCAACTGTGCAATCCCAATCTGAGGGAATGGCACAATCAGTTTTGGTTCTGAAAAAAGTAGAATTTTCTAAAGTCGATTCCAAGCTTACAACCACTTGAAATGTAGTGTTTCTTGCGCAATAACAAAAACTTTCAGGAACTATAAATCAGTAAAAATCCGTCCAATGAATCTTTAGTTTGATAGTTCAAAAAAGCAATATTTGGAATTTGATTTAGCTTTTTCCCAACGACTAAATTACACAAGTCAATCTGATGGGCGCCTGATAAACCGTTGTTTAAACTGAAAATTTTAAGTACAGTTTGTATCTTAAGTGCAATAAAAATGTTTGTTTTATTTTCCTTCGTATTTCCTTACCACAAACCATGCTCATGCGGTACAAGCTCTATGAAGTTAGCACAGGACCAATCGAGCCTTAGAAAATCTTTAGAAACCATAGCAAAAAAAAACACAATGCATTTCGTACTTGCTGAAGTAGATTTATGCTAAAAATTATAAATACAGTTTTTCTGACCGGGCTGGATAAAACTTTCAAACACCATTCCGACAGTCTTTTGATTAAATACAGCCCAATTATCCCAGAATTCAAAAAAGTCAACTTTTGCTCCACATGCAACCTATAAAAGCAAACTATTTAAAATTCAATCGACTATGAATAACAAAACTGACATGCAGCATCGGAAGTCAAAGTTTTTTCAATTTTGAGAGGTTTTCTTTTAAACTTAAATACTTAAACAGACCAGAAGCTAATTTTCTCAGAAGTTCGACAAAACCATATAGTTTTGGTAATTAAAATTGCCGACGTAAAAATGTCAATGAAACTGATTCCTACAAAATTGAAAAAATATGTCAAAAATTTTTCAACCTAAATTTTTGTGCCAAAAACATTAAATAAAAGGGACTATCTCTTGACAATGTGTAATAGTAATTTGAAAAAAAGAGTTTTCTGGATAGTTTTTTCAGATTTACAAAAAATTTTTTTTCCAAAGTTTGATTCTGTGAACCATCTACCAAGAGCGAATCTTCTAAATTATGTCTATTGAGTTTGAATCAACACTTTAAATGTTGTTTATTGTCCCCGCACTCTTTCGAGCAGAATTTTAGTTTCGAGCAGAACTCGAAACTAAAACTAGAGTAACCGGCTGCTGTGCAAGTAGCAGAATAAGTTCCGACCACATACATATAAAATTACGAAAAATTTACGTTTTCTCCAGCTGTGTGTCATGAGAAAGCAATACTATCGCGTATAAATTTAGTGAATTCTGCATTATTGATAACATTTGTCTCAAAAAGTCAATCGCAAGCAAAAAAATTAAAAAATAAATTCCCAAAAATCTGATGAAATATTCCCTTTTTTTGAAAAGTCATTAACGTTTTTTAAGTTTTTTTTGCTAAGGAAGCGCTTATTCAAGCTTTCAATTCAAAGCTAGTGTTGTTTTGAGTAAAACCAAGTTTTTAGCCTAAAAAACCAATTTCATATAACGAAAATTACTCGATCGCAGAGCTCAAAAGTTTCACAACAGCTTTTTGGGCTGAAGATTTAGTTTTACTCAAAGTGAACTAGCGGTTTTGAAAGCATGTATTAGTGGTTCCCTGACAAAAAAAATTAACTGATTTTTCAAAAAAAAACACTTTTCTGAACACCGGAACATTTTTTCGAAACTTTCTAATATTTCTTGAAATCACCATTGAAAGGGCTTTGAAATGATGTATTATTCATATGATTTTTTTGTTAACACATTTTAAATTTTCTATAAAAAACAAAAAAAGACACAACGACCATAAGAAAATTTTCAGACGAGAAAAAAACTTTCATTTTTACACCTTCTTAGAATCAAGGGAACATCCACTACTCAAAAAAACTGTGTGAAGTAAGCGGCTGAATAAAATGAAGTGCAAAATTAATCACTAAAGATAAAAAATTTAAGCTTTCAAAGTCCACAAAGTCACAGAGTTGTCGGTTGCCTTCCCCGCTAATCTTATTTTGAAAAGTTAAAAAAAAACAATTTTTAACTCACGCCTGTCTCGCACAAGAAAATGGAACACGCAATCTCATTGCTTTTAATTGATAAATGTTTAATAATCAAGTGTAATACTTGTTTTGCCTTTGAATTTTGTACACAATCGTAACCCTATAACTTCAGAGATGTTGTATAATCTGCGTTCAAACAACTCGGTCACAGACAATTCAGCCCATTTCAAATTCAAACAATTCAGTAAATAAGAGTGAGACAATTTCGCCAAAGTTTATTCAGACAGTTTTAAATTTTTAAAATGTGCGGGCAAAACTTTTCACATGCGGCTAAGGATTAAAGCTTTATTTAAACGACTTATAAATAATTACTTTCAAATGAACATGAAACAAATAAAATTTACAAAACCAAAAGTACCTATAAATAAAAGATTTTCATACAAAGCTTTATGTTTCCAAATTTAGGATAGTGGCTAGTCCCTAAAACTTACTGGCCACACAGTTACGCTGATATTTAAATCATTCCTTAGGCGCGGGAAGGTGCTACCGCTATCAGTTTGAAACTAGTTTGAAGCTTAAAATTCTTCAAAAGATAATTTAATTGCGATTAAAACATTGTCCATTCAGAAAATAAAATTGAATTTAGTTAGTCGGGAATATTGTCGCTGATAGTTGTATTGATAGGTTTTCAACTTGTCAATTTTTTTTTTGGCTTTTTACAAGCATGCGTAACTGTTCTTTCAAAAGTTCTATTCTTCATAGCCATTTATTATCTTGAAAGGAAACTGATTTTTCTAGAAAAATATTTTCTAATTGGAAATATGGAATATAAAATAAGCTTTAAAAGTGGTAAAAATGTACTGTGGGCAATATATGATACATGTAGCCCTATGGCGTAATCATCACAAGAAATAGTCGAAGTATTAGTGTTGAAGTTCAAGATTGTGGTAGCTATGACTCCTTGCTAACAAATACTTGTCGATGCTGTTTTTTTTTAGTTACCAGAACTAGCAAAACTGCTCATATCATTAGCAAAGCTTTGACCTTCCCAACTGCCCTGAAGCGTCAATTAAACAAATTGTTGCAAAATG